TAGCCACATATGTTGATGTTTATACCCTTGTGATCTCACAATCACTAATAACATTTCACTTCATGACCCCTGAACTCTAATATTTTCTCTGACCATAGCCTCCTCTCATACAATGTCTCCTGTCTCACCCCTCCCAAATCCCCTCATTACAACCACTGGTCACTCCACTTTTCCTTTCTTTCTACAATGTCTTGATAGAAAGTGTGCTATGATAGATAGTGTCCTATGCTTAGCATCAGGAAGGTCCAGAGTCAAATCCCACCTAACACTAACTAGTTGTGTGACCTTGGGTAAGTCACTTCATCTCTCTAAACCTCAATTTCCTCAGATGTAAAGTTTGAGGGTTGAACTCAATCTCCAATGTCCCTTCCAGCCCTAAATCAATATTGCTATGATCTTCCTACTCTTTCTTTAAAACTGACCCCACGAATGGCCATCCAGTCATACATTATTAACTACCCTTAAATCCTTTGCACCTTTGGTCCAGTGATAGTCATACTTTATCAAACACCAACTTGAGGTTACACACACTGCCCTTCTCTTATCCTACTTGTGTTGCTGAATGCTCTTGGAGAAAACTAGGTAATCATGTGAACTTCAAATTATATAATTCCATTTGGGTCTTTATTGGTGTACAATAATCTGTCCTTTCTTTTGTTTTTCTCTGATTAACTCTGTACCACACTTTCCAAAGCTGTTATTCCAAACTTTTTCCTTTCTATCATATTTCCTACATCATACAGCCACAACTCTCCCAAAATATAATTGGGAAATATTTAACAAAATAATTTTACAATAAAACATAGATAACATTATATTTTAAAAACTAAGTCAACATGTGTCCAATGGCATCTTCATATACGGATTAGTTTTATTTTAGTTTGACACCTCTGGTCTATAACACCACTTTGTATAGGGAGATATAATCAATGCCAGAATAAAATCTCCATGAGCAGAGCCAGGGGTACCCAGGTCATTGGGAATACCCACTACATTTCTATTACATCTGCCTCATTATTTTCACATGAATATTTCATGTAAGGTATTAATACTATTTAGTAATGTCAATAAAACATTACCTCTAATTTGGTACTGATTTGATTATTTGATTGCAATACAACTAATTTTGAAATTATTCCCACATCTGTAACCAGCAATTTCTTATAGGCATTGTCAATTTCATTTTTATGAAATTTGGTGTTCTTGAAGATTCATGATATACAGGTATGATGACTAAGTAATCTAAAAACCTTTTAAGTCTTTCATTTCTTGATCCTGAACTATGGCTTACATATGACCTGTGCCAAAATATTACCCTCTTTCTTTCTGAATCATAATCTTGGGCCCAGAAGATAATCATAATTCAAATATATAAGAGGATAACATCTAGACATGGGTTATATATGTCACAATACATCCCTGTGTCTACTTTCATAATGAAGTCACTGGCCATCAAAGTTTATGTTGACTTAGTTTGGAGAACTGTATTAAGTTCTTCATATAATTTCTTTATTTCTTTGTCTTTGGCAAAATAGGTTGGTACTTAAGTTGCAATTATTCCCATGAGGGTATTAGTTAATATTATGTCGTAATGAACCCTTTCAGTAAGATGACAAAGTATACCATGAAATGATATTTCTTGCTGCCTTTGGGTACATTATGAAATTAACTCTGTCAAGTCCTTTATTTGCTTTTTGGAGGAAAACCTGTGAGCTATCCTATTTAATTGTAACTTCTTTATGTCTCCTAGTTTCTTTTCACACAAATCGGTTCTCAAACTCTTTGGTCTCAAGACCTCTTTTCACTCTTAAAAATTATTGAGGACCACCAAAAATGCTTTATGTTTATATCTATCAATATTTACCATATTAGAAATTAAAATCTTAATATTGTTATTAAAATATTTTTGACCTTTTGAGCCCATTGAAGTGGTCTTAGGGACCCCCAGGAATTCCCAGACCACATTTTGAGAACTTGTGTTAATGCATGGGGTTCAAGTCCTCCAATAGCACTCAAGTTGTTGGGCAATGGATAAAAAAATTCACATTTAGATACCAATAGTTAAATTAAGGTGCATAGATGATCTGAAAACTGTGTGATTCATGACATTGATTCATGGCAGTTTTCTACTATTCTGCCATCATCTCCTTGGAAATGGAAGGTGACTATGGGACTGAGAGTCATTGGCATTATCTGTTAAATGGGTTGCCAAAACAAAATGATTTCTCAATTAATAGACTTCTGGGATCCTTTCCATTTTTATCTAGGCCAGGCTCTAGAGAACAGAGAGAATTGTATGTCCTGGAACTATACTAGTAGTATACTCTTGAATCTAGCACAGTTTATATTAAACAGTAACTTGACGGACTGGAGAAGAGGGAAGACACAATACTTGGGACAAGTGTTTTATTTATATAAATGTTTCCTCAAATATTCTTGGCCTTATCATATAGTATATTCTCCTGAAACCAGGCAAGACTGGAATAAGAAAAACCAGTGATTAAGTTCTACTTCAGAAATTTTCAGGCTGTGGGAACCTGAGTGAATGACTTAACCTTTCTGAATCTATTACCTTATTTGTAAAGTAATAGTAATAATACCTCACAGAATTGTCAAGAGAATTTTGGGATCATAGAGATGGAAGAGATCCTTTAAGTCATTTAGTCCAACCTACTAATTTTACAGAAATTACTCATTTGAAGAAGTTGAGGCTCAAACAAGTGAAATGACTTGCTCAGAACCACAGAAGTACTAAGTGGTAGAACTAGGATTTGAACCTATATCCTCTGCTTTTACGTTCAGCACTATTTTCACTACATCTCCTAATTAGTATTCCTGTCTCTAGACAGGGGTGGAGAATCTTTGGCCTCAAGGCTACAAGTGGCCCTCTAGGTCCTAAAGTGTGGCCCTTTGCCTGAATCAAAACTAGGCCCAAGGTTCCCCACCCCTGCTGGGGTCTCCTCTTCAAGCACATCCAGCACAGGGCCAACTCTATCATTCTGTGAGGAATGCTAACAGTTTGGTTCCCACAGAATTGATAAGAAAAGAGGACAGGGGGAGATTAGGTTATTGATTAATTGATTTCTTGGTTATTGGTTTATACAAATATGTAAACAAGATAAGGGAGTGAATGGAATAATATAGGGTGAAGCCCCCTCAGGGGAATGAACTAACCCCCACCTCAGTTACTTTTCATACTTATAACTGTTGCAAGACTGCACCCAGATGCCTTGAAGCCCATTCTGGCTAAACCAGATGTGCCATGTGGCTAAACCGGATGTTCTGGTTGTGCAAAGAGACCACTCCCCTCTAACTTGTTTTGAACTTCCTTCCATAGAAGTTAGAATTCCATGAATAGATTGTGCCCCTAATATACCCAGCGAATGGGTTGAGGGGAAGGGGGTTAGGGCAGGTACATTGCAGATAGGGTCTATATATTTTGCTTTACAAGACACTCAGACACACACCCTGGCTGGAGCCATCTTGAGCGAATGCTGGGTGTGTCCTTTCTCATGAGAAAGCAATAAAACTCCTTTTTTGCCTTTCTTAAGAAAAAGTCTCTGATTTGATCATTTTGGGGTCACAAACACCCCACACAATTCCCTTCAAGAAACAAGCTTCAGTTGATTCCTCTATAAAACACTATTTTTTCTCTCAAAGCCCTTCTGAATTTTGCTTCACCCTACTTTCTCATACAATTTCATAATAGTCTTGGTACTCCCAGGTTGCAGTCAGTTGGCACATCTGCTGCTCCCAGGCCATGATGTTCTACCTCCTTCCTCCATGTCTTTGCACTGGGTATCTTTCAAGCCTGGAATATTCATTCTCCTTACCTTCACTTCTTAGAATCCCTAATTCCCTTCAAAGCCCAGCTTAAGTGTAACTTTCAGTGAATCCTCTCCCCTTCTTAATTACTTTGCATTTTGCTTGCTTTCATTTTCTTTTATGTTTCCCCATGTACTATGAACTCCTTCACGGCTGGGATTGTTTTGTTTTTGTCCACATATTTCCAGCACTTAGTCCCTGTTTTGCACCTAGCAGGCATGTAAAAAATGATTGTTAACTGCAGAAATGGGTGTAAATTGCAGTCTGTAATAGGCTTTAAAACACTCTGTTAGGTCTTGTATTTTATTATAGAGGCGATTGGGAATCCCTTTAGATTTTTGAGTGGGGTATATAAAAATCATCGGTAGCTGTGAGGCGGATTTATCATCTCCGAAACAGAACCTACGCTCCCGGAGGGCAGGGGCTGCTTAGTTTCTGTCTATCCTTAGCCCCCGAGAAACATTTTCAGTTCTTGACTGACTGGGGTGAGAGGGTGGGCGCTGGAAACGCAAAAGCCCATTAGGTGTGGAGGGGCCTGAATTAAGAATGTGTGTGGTGAGGGTGGTAAATACTGCGTAAATAGGGAGAATGTTGAATTAAATAATGCTATGAGTTGCTGTGAGTTGTGAGGGAGGGGTCTACAAGGCTGCAGAGGAGGGCAGAAAAGGCGCAGCAAACAGCGAGCGGTTTGCGCCCTTGGCAGTGACAGAAAGTCCGTTTTCGGGGCGGGGAGGTGGGTTGTGCGGGCTCCTGATTTCAGCTCTGGCTTGGCCGGGTCACCCGCAGCCAAGGATGGCCTTCCTCAATAAAGAACCTGCGCGTCCCCTCTCAAAGCCGACCATGCGGTGAGAGGGCATAGAAACCCCAAACAGGACCACAGCAACCGCTTGGCCCTTTCAGGATGAATTATATGCGACGCCCACCTCGGGCGCTTTTAAATGACACCACGATCCTGGTCTCCCGATGCAGCAGGAGCGCGGAAGCTCTCGCGATACCACAGCCCGAGAGTTCGACCGGGAGGAAGAGGGCGGGGCCGCAGTCCCCGGCCTCGCTCGTGCAGCTGCCTCCAGCTGGCGTCTGCGCATGTCCCGGTGCTCTGCCATGGGACCGGAGGCGTCTGCCAACTTTCTGCCCTAAACTGTTGGTCGGGGCCGTCCCCGCCTCCTCCGGCGCTTTCTCCTCCTCTGCCTCCGCCTTCTGGTCGGTCCGGTGGGGAGGTGGCAGGTCGGTGGCTGTGTCTGGAGTCGAGGGCCCCCAGGGCGGGATGGTGCAGCAGAGCCAGGTGAGGACCGCCGGCTGTGGGACCTCAGGCGGGTCGCTTTACCTCGCTGCGCCTCATTTTCCCCATCTGGAAAATGAGGGGTTTGGTCTGGGTATGTCCGCCGGGCCCCTTCCAGCTCCGGATCCATGAGCCCAGAAAATGGAGTGCTTCCTTCCCTTTATTATGTCCTAGTTGTCCCGTATATAGCTTGTTGGTATGTAGCTGCACGTTGTCTCCCTTAGATTGTAAGCCCCTTGAGGTCAGGGGCCTTGTTTGTGTCTCCGGCGCTTAGTATGGTGCCTGGCACTTAATAAATATTGATTGATTTATTACATAGCTTGCTTTGAATGTATTTGTTTATACCTTGTCTCCCCGATTAGATTTTAAGCTCTTTGAGGGCAGGAACTGCCTTTTGCCTCTTTTTGTATCCCAACTGCTTAGCAAAGTGCCTGGCACATAGTAGGCGGTTAATAAATGTTGATTGATTGAGTAAACCAATGAGTCACCAGTCACACTGTCATATTCCCACACCAACTGGGCTAGACCTCTGCCTTTTTTTACCCCACCTCCCCAAGAAAATCTTGTCTAAAGAAATGAACCAAAACATTGTATACAGTAACAGCAATATTGTATGATGATCAACTGTGAATGACTTAGCTATTCTTAGCCATAGAATGATCCAAGACAATTCCTAAAGGAAACTGCTATTCACCTCCAGAGAAAGAACTGATGGAGTCTGAATAGACCGAACCATACTTTTTTTTTTTTTTACTACTCTTGGGGAAGGGGAAACTGTTTTGTTTTGCAACGTGGTTAATGGGGAAATGTTTTTTATGACTACACATGTATAATCTTTTTTTTTTTCTTTTTGGTGAGGCAGTTGGGGTTAAGTGACTTGCCCAGAGTCACACAGCTAGTGAGTGTTAGGTGTCTGAGACTGGATTTGAACTCAGGTCCCCCTGACTCCAGGGCCTGTGTTCTGTCCACTGCCACCTAGCTGCCCCCCACATGTATAATCTTTATCAAATTATTTTGCTTTCTCAAGATGGGGCGGAGAGGGGAAGGAAAGAATGTGGAACTCAATTTTTTTTTAAATGTTAATTTTTGTCTATATGTAATTGGGAAAAATAAAATAAAAATTAAATTATTAAAAACAGAAATGATAGGAATGCATTAACAGGGATGACCTATTTAAATTAAATATTTTTTTCAAGTTTTCACTACTATCTTGAGTTAGATGACCTAGTTTCAAGCCCTGCCTCTGCTGCACGTGTGACCTTGGACAAATGACTTAGCCTTCCTAGGACTCAGTTTACTCATCTGTAAAAGGATGGCCTCACAACCTAGAACTGTGATCCTAGGATCTATCCTTAGTTGTCTGGGGCTTCTGTGACAGACAGTGCCTGGGCTTATTGAGAGGGAAATCTGTTTAAAAAACAACCCTGCTCCCTTGCACCCCTCAATTTTGTGCAATCAAGTTAAAGTACACCTTGTTGGTTTGGAGCCAGGCTTGTGTCAGGTTGAAGTGAACCTTAAGTGGCCTCACCCTAATTTTTATTTTACTCCCCCAGCTCTTATCAATATAGCCCTGGCCTGGCTTTTTGGCTTCAGTAAGAATAATACCAACTCCTTTTTAATGTTACAAAGTGATCAGTAAAGTTGTAACTTTTGTTGCAGATGCTTGGAACAGTATTTGAATTTTTAAAAATGGAAGGAATCATGTGTTCCTTTAAAGAAATAGATTCCATGTGTGTAAAATTGTCCCGTGCTGAATTTATTTCAGTAGCTTAGAACTGATGATTGTATGGTAGTTAATGTTTTGCCTTGCATTTTGGAGCATTATTTAACTTCCTTGAAATGGCTTTGAATTCGGGGTTGCCAGAGTTTCTTAGTGAGCCTGGGAATTAGTTAACCTGCCTATCCTGTGTTTCAAGTCCTCATTATAATTTCAGTCCCTGCTTCTACCTGCTTTTGTTAATAATGTAACATAATCTTCAGCAACTGGGTTATAGGACCTCAGGATTTGAGTCATATGAAGAAATCTTAGAGATCATCTAGTCCAACCCTCTCATTTTATAGATGAGGAAACTGAGGCCCTTTCTGTTAAAATAATGCATCTATAAGTTATTTCACAATGATGTACAAAAATTTTCACTTAGTTTGTCAGGTATAATTTGTTAAAAATTGACTTATCAAAGTTCTTATACCTGACTGGTGCAAAAATGAAAGCAGGTCTAAAATTATTGTGAGTTATTTTGCTGGCATTAAAATGACTGATAAAACATCTCAAAGTTTGAGGACAGACCTCAGGAAGCTTTATATTCTAGTGGAGCTTGAATTTGAAAACTTGAAGATTTTTCTTTGAAATAACTAAGAATTTCATTAATTTTCTCAAGGTCTGAATTTATTGATTTATTGACAATTTTATATGTGCATTTTTAATATATAAAATTCTTCTGTTCACTTCAGCAAACATTTATTAAACACTTATCGTTTGCAAAGCATTGTGCCTAGGTAATTAAAATGGTATACTTGCAAGGTACAGTGATTCAAGCTTTGAGTACTTATGGTATCTTGGGAAAGGGCATTGAACTAGGAAGTCAGCAAACCTAAGGTCTGTTCATGGCATTAATTACATGTGACTTTGGGCACTTTTTAAGCTTCAGTGTCATTATCTGACAAATAAATGAATTAAGCTGTATTCATTGCCCTGAAGGACTTTTCCTAAAATTCTAAAGTTTTTTTGTTTGGGTTTTTTTTTCTTCTACTTGGGAGGAAAAATAAGACTGTGGCATGTTGTTGATGACCTTTTTCCTCCTGCTGTCTGTAGGTTACTGTGTTGTATTTTGCAAGAAGTGCTGAATTAGCAGGTGTTCGTTCTGAGACCATTTCTGTGCCACAACAAATAAAGTCTCTGAAGCTATGGGAAGAGATTGAAAGTCTACATCCTAGGTAGTTTAACATTTATGGAATATATTGGGTTGGTGAGGGTGGGGGGCGTTTTTATAAGGTGTGGTCTTAAGTGCCATTTCTCCATTTCCAGAGTAAGGGCAGTCCTGACTGATGATCATTGAGAGCTCATTCAGTGTTAACAGGGTAGACTGGACTTTACCCAGCAGGTCATTTTCTTCTGGAGAGACATATGGTTCTTATAGCCTCCAGAGAATAAAGAAGGCATTGTGGCATACTGGAAAGAGGACTAGGAGTACCAGGTGTCAGAGAGTCTTGAGTTTGTGTCATATTAGCCGTATGACCTTTGGCAAGTCACTTAACCTCTCTAGACCTTAGTTTACTTTTCTCTGAAATTAAGGAGTTGGACTAGATAGTCTTGAAGGTACATTCCCATGGCATAATTCTGTGTGGTCATATTACCAATTGGCACAACTTCTTTTCCCTGGTAGGGATGAATTAAGTAATCTTTGTTCCTGATCTTAGAAATAATTGTTTTTTCCTGTTCTTGCCCATATTTCTGTTGGTCACAAGGCTACTTTTTGTTACTATTTATTCATTTGACTATATGGTATATTGCAAGTTCCCTCTTTTTTTTTTTCTTTTTTACATAGTCAAATTAGCTGACATCATCCTAGAGCAGGACCATGATTTTCTGTAAAAGGGAGAGAGGGACACCTTGTGGATTTCAATCCTGGTCAGTAAACTGATCTTAAATAGTATCATTGGTCCTCATCTCTAAAAAATTCTGGATTCGGTTATTTCCCAATATTTCCAGTTCATACAATATGTTCCCGTAGTTCTGTCCCATACAAAATGTGTAAAATTGCAGCTAAAAAAGTGAGTGAATTTAAAGGTCTGGATTTAAGTATCTACAAACATGATGTAAGAAATAGTATACACTAAGTTGGTTTGGTTTTTGCTGATAGTTTTTTTGTTTTAATGCTATCAGTTTTCAGGTTTTTTTGTTTTTTGTTTTTTTTTTTTTTTCTGGGCAGACATAGGAGTTAATGTGGTGTGGTGGAAATAAAATTGAATTTGGAGTCAGGAGAAATGGGTTTGAATGCTGGCTTTACTGCTTTTTGCCAGTGTAATTTTAGGCAACTCGAATTACCTCCTATGGCCTCAGTTTTCTCATCTATAAAATGTGATGTTTTAATTAGACAGTCCCTAAGGTCCTTATGTGCTCCAAATCCTATAATCTATATTAATTGCAACAAATCTTGTTCTGAAATTTTTTAACAAGTTTGAGCACTTTTCAAACTTGAAAATTTTAAAGTTGAAATGTCAGGAATTTAAAGACATTGAAGGGACAGCTTGGTGGTGAGGTAGATAGAGCACTGGCCCTGGAGTCAGAAGGACCAGAGTTCAAATCTGGTGTCAGACCAGACACTTGACACTTACTAGCTGTGTGACCCTGGGCAAGTCACTTGACCCTAATTGCCTCACCAAAAAAAACAAAACAAAAACCTAACAGACATTGAAAAATAAAATTTGCTGCTGGATTTTACTTTTTACATTATTTCATTTCTTCGTTTTGACACTTTCATAAATTATTTGTGTACTTATTCTGTAATATAGTTTTAATCTTTAATATATTGACATTTAATATAGATATTTTAATGTAGACATAATGTGGTACCATATTTAACATGATAGTTTTAGCAATGATTAATAGCTTTCAGGAGAGAATACACAGGCTTGTAACATGAACATGTATCTACCCTTATTTAGAGTCAGATTAAATGAATAACCTGGGGTTGAACTTAACCACTTGCTATTTTGAGTTTGCCTGTCTCTTCATAAAGCTAAAAAAAAGAGGCCATTCATGCACCTGATCCTGTGGAAACACCTTTAGCCCTACCCAGAAGCCAGCTCCTGTGGAAGAGGTGCTAAGAAATCCTCCTTTCCTATGGCCTAGTATGTGTCATCTTCAGCACATATTTTTTTAATGTTGTATGACACACATGAAGGCAGAGTAGCATATTGATTAGGGACCTGGTCTTGAAGTCAGGAACATCTGTCTGTCATACATGTGTGATGATGGGCAAGTCAGTGCCCCAGGAAACTGTTTAAGAGTGTAAGGTATAGATGAGTCACTGAACTGCAACACTGAAGGATGAAATCACAGGTGCAGAAAAGAAAAAGACGCTTTACAGTAAATACTGTCTTGATCATTCAGCTTCTGGTTTATTAGCAATCTAATGTCATTTCTTTTGGTTAAGTGAAGAGAGCAGTGAAAGGGCTGAACTATTGGACCAAAAAGGCCAGATCTTTTTTACTCCAAATATGAGTTGAAAGCTTGCTTGGTAAGCTTCGGAATGACACCAAAGAAAACTGGCAATTTATACATTTAATAGCATCTAATTATCATTTGAGGGTACAACCGAATTCTGTCGTAACAGCCTGGGATATTCTAAGCCAAATCATATTCCCCTAAATGTATCAGTAAAAAAAAGTTCAACATAAGTAAGTTTAAATCTTGACTTATGGTGTTATCAGTACACAAAAGTTATAGAATGCATGGATAAAGTATTCTTTTTCCACGGAGATAGAAAAGGGAAAAAAAATTGATTTTGAGCAAGAGATTTGCGTTTTTGTTTGAGTTCTTTCTTAAAGTTAATTTAGCCCTTACAAAGGGAGAGTAACATATAGAGTAATGTACGTTGTTTACTGTGTAGTTTCATTTCATTTTTTCTTTTTACTCTTTCTCTTTCTCTGTCATGAATGGCTCAATTCTTATTTGTTTGTTTTTTTTCCCTCCATTTTTCTATGTGCTTCTTGCCTTTGTTTATAGAATAATAAAATATATTTGCTCTGGATTGAGTTTTTATATTTTGGATTTTGAGAAGAATGAACTTTCAGTGTTGTTTTATTTATTTATTTATCACAACTTTGATAGCTTTTTTAAAATGTTGGTTCTGTTTTCTTCAGGTTAGCTGATGTAAGAGATCAGGTGATATTTGCTGTTCGTCAGGAATATGTCCAGCTTGGAGATCAACTCCTGTTCCTACAGCCAGGTGATGAAATTGCAGTTATCCCCCCCATTAGTGGAGGATAGTAACTCTGGGCTGTTGGGGTATGTATGGTTTCCACTTGTTACCAGTGTCATGTAGAAGAAAAATATATTAGAAAACTTGTTAGCAGTTGTCTTGGGTTTGCTGGCTTGTTGTTGTTGTTGGGTGTGTGTGTGTGTGTTTGTGTGTGTGTGTGTGTGTGTGCCTGGACCAGTTATTTTTATTCTAAGATGTCATGTTAATATAAATCTGAACTATTCAAGCATTATATAATCATAAGGGTGGGGAACCTGCGACCCCAAGGCCACATGTGGCCCTCTAGGTCCTCAAATGTGGCCCTTTAACTGAATTCAAACTTGGACTTAGTCAAAAGGCTGTACCCAAGGACCTAGAAGGCCACATGTGGCCTCAGGGCTGCAGGTTCTCCACCCCTGAGAATTTCTAGAACAAGAAGGGACTTCAGAGGGCTTCTGGTCTGATTCCCTCACTTTACCGATAAGGAAGCTTGAGACCCAGGGAAATTAAGTGATTTGCTCAAGGTCATGTAGGTAAAAGTCAAAAGAAGTAAATTTGAACCCAGATCCTCTGACTCTGATAGACTCATTGCTCTTTCTCTTGTACCACACTGCTTCCTGTTTTGGTTCTGTGTTTCATTCACATGCACAGGAATCTTAATCAAAGTCTCTGATGGACAAAGAATACTTCATTGCTAGAATGGGAAAATGTTACACTTTATGAGGGGCATAGCATTCGTTTCTTTTGTGTGGACTTGGCAAGCAGGGCCTCAGGTAGCACCACCCTGGCCCACTAGGGCCATGTCATCTTTGTAAACTATTCAACTGAAATCTGACATTAATTGTGTGTAATATAAGGTGATCATTTAATGTGTCCCAGCCTTGGCCTACTGTAGACAGGAAGAACGTGACATGATTTATGTTATTCATCTTAAAGTTTAGAACATTTTATTTTCTTTACATTTAAACAAGTGCCTTCAAATGTGATAGTTGTGTAAAATACATACATATGCATATGCATACATATGTCTATGTGTATATTTGTATATATGTAGCATTGTTTGCCTTCTTTAGATGTATATCAGGAGGACTATCTCATACATGTGTATCCTTTTCATTTCTACAGTTTAAAAAAAATAATTTCTGAACTTGTGTCACATAATCTCAGAACTAGCCATAAATGATTCTTGCAATAGTGTGGGCCATTTAAGGAACATAAATTATGGCTGTGGAAAATGATCTGTATTTTAAAGTTTCCAGGCCAAAGTTTGCTCACTGATTATGGTTCTTAAAAAGAAAAAGAGGTGGAAAGAAAGGATGTTGTTGAATTGACTGTAGCTGTGCTTGCCCATAACTTCTAAGCTTTTGCTTTGGTAAAGAGTAATAGTATGGAAGAAACTTTTCTTTCCCTAAATATATGGCCAGGATATTGCCAGGATATAGCACAAGTTGTGGTCATGACTTGTGCTATAATTATCAGCTTGTTCTCCCCTTCTCACGGCTGCAACTAAAACCCTTTGGGACTGAGTACAAGAGCAACCCCAGTGCAGGAGAGGAAGGGAGGGGTGGATGGAGACAGCAGACTTCAGGATCAGGGTGTGCGTAAAAAGATTGCGTTTGCCAGATGCAATAATAAGTAGCCCTTACCTTGGCAGGTGATAGTATGGCAGTTAGGGAAATTGTGGAGTGGGAGGAAGTGAATCATCAGAGCTGATTTGTTTGGCCTTCCAGAGGCTAGAAGGGAAGACACTGTCAGCAAGGCCAACTTGAAATTTTAGGTCCTTGAAGATCAAGATTGTAGCTACGGAAGGATTCCTGTCCTTCTGAGTCTTGAGTCTCAGCTCAGCCTTCAATTTTATGGCCTCTAGCAAGGCACATGACTGCTCTGAGCTTCAGTTTCCCCAACTGTAAAATGAGGATAATAATACTTCACAAAGTTTCTGTAAAGAAAGCACTTTGTAAACAGCAAAGCTTGATGTAAATATGAAACAGTTCTGTTATTGTCTTCATACTGGACACGTAATTATTCCTGCTATGCCCTACATGAGTGTAAATTAAAGGCTGTCTCTGCCAAAACATAACTCACTGCATTAGTAAGTGCATTATGCACAGTTAGCCTGTGAGGTAGGGACTTCCAACCTCAGTGTCCAACCATTTCCACTTTATCATCTAATATCTCACCTGTTTTTGTTTTTCATCTTCTAATACTTCAGAAGGGAAGGAAAAATTAGTGATAATACTTAGTGAATTCTGGAAATATTTTGTTTCTAGGGAATCTGTGAATGCAATTGAAGACAAACCTAAAGATGTAATCAGATTTACTGCTGAGAAGCTCTCAGTAGATGAAGTCTCACAGTTGGTGATTTCTCCTGTCTGTGGAGCTGTGTCTCTGTTTGTGGGTGAGTTTTAAGTTTCACACTTTTCTAAGGAGCACAGGAACAATCTGATCATTTGATCATTCTGCTTCTGTTCAGCTGAAAATTTTCAAATTAGTAAATTTTCAAAATTTACTAATAAATATTCTGACAAATATGATGTTAAGGAACTTATTTGTTTAATATTTTATTTGGTGTTTTAGTAAGTTCCAAAAAACACCAACTCAAATTCTGATATGTAAAGATCAGGAAAAAAAATGTACTGTCATTACTTAGAATCTTTTTATTTTTCTTTTAATGTTGAAGAAAAATTCTCCTATTTTAGAAACAATACAGTAACATGTATTATTTTCTTTAAAGTGCTGAATATCACCTAGTGGTGCCATAAGAGGAACACTGTTTCATTCACTGAGTGAAATAATTTTGTGTAGTTCGGCAGACTCTATGATAATGATTTCATATTTAGTTTTTTCCTTACATCTGGGTCTACAGATAGTCAATTACAATTACTACATAGGTTCTGGAAAGTTTTCAAATTAATATTGGACTGATTACTTTTATTGTTCTGTGGAGAAAAAACATTTCTTTTTATACATAATATTTGTATTTTTAAGGAAATATGTGATTTGTTACCTATTAAATTTTTTGTTCTATTTTAGGGACTACAAGAAATAACTTTGAAGGGAAAAAAGTTGTTAGCTTAGAATACGAAGCATATGTGCCAATGGCAGAAGCTGAAGTCAGAAAAATATGTGGTGCTGTTAGACAGCAGTGGCCAGTCAAAAATATAGCTGTGTGCCATCGACTTGGGTGAGCTGGGCCTCATTTCATCTTTGTAAATTTCAATGCCATTTGCTGCTGTTTTAAAACTTGTGTTGATCATAATGTGGAATATTTGACACAATAATGCTACAACTGAGCTCTGTTAAGGGAGGAAGATATATATATATATGTAGTAAAAATTTGAGGAAAGTTGTGATATTTCACCTCTGGCTTCCTTTTTGAGCTTTTTTTTTTCTTTTTTGCCAAACAGTAAGTTCATCAGCATAATTTATTCCAGTCCTTTCTACACATAATGTGCCTTAGCATCAATAACACTATTGTGCTGTGTCTGATAGTAGTAGGAATTAGCAAAGATATGGCTATAGGACATACTTAAAATTCTTGAAAATTCTCAATTGTCCATGACCTAAGAGTCCAATGGACCAGTACCTTCAAACTTTTTTCTTTTCTGTTTTTGAAGAGTCACATTGTACTTTTTTATGGATCCTGCTTATCATGCCAGCTATTTTACTTAAAGTGAAATGACTGGCACACATTTCATTTAGTTTGTATTTTTATACAATTAAGAGAAATGATAAGGAGGTCAAAGGAACTGAAAAAAAAAAAGAAATGGAGTTTCAGGTTTTCGAGGGAGTTTTTGAAATGGGGTCTGTGGTGATTAGGGGGTACAATGTACAGTGGATATTAGGTAGAAAAGACTTTCTCTACTCAGATGTACCATAGAATATGCAACATGATGTACCCAGGTGTACAATATAATTCTTTCCCTTCTCTAAAAGATGGGATAGATGCCTAGCAAAAAATTGGCTCAACTTCTGTGTTCCCATTTGGATACAATTCTGGTATGGAATATAGTTTCAACACTATATTAAAACATTTTTTCCCCTCCATCTTATTTAAGCTTAGTTCCAGTAACAGAAGCAAGTGTGGTCATTGCTGTGTCTTCAGCACACAGGGCTGCATCCCTTGAAGCTGTGAAATATATTATTGATACATTAAAAGGCAAAGTTCCAATTTGGAAAAAGGTAAAAAACTTGATATCTGACTGTCATTTGAATAAACATATATATATATACACATATATGTATGTATATACACACAGGAATATATAAAAGAATTTTACTCATGAATTTTGTAGCATTATATATGCTAAGGAATCTTTATCACCTTAGGGCTAATCTATTGCAGTTAGCTTCCTAAAACGTTGATCCCATCATGTCATGTCCCTCCCTTATTTACAAACCCTAAAATATATAGTCAGTAATTCTTATCCTGGCATTCAAGGTCCTCCACATTTTATTCCCAGTCTACCTTTTCACCTTTACATTCTGTTGCCTCCCTTGTGAATTCTTTTCTAGCCAGCCTAGTCTATAAACTGTTTCTTGAACGTGCTTTTGCTTTACTAGCTATATGTTCTCTTGCCTGGTATGTTATCCCCTCTTAACACTATCTTTCATTTTCATACTTTTTCCCTAACCACTCTGGCTCAAATTAATCTCTCCTTTGAACTCATTTTTTTGACATCTTTTAATTTGAAGAATTTATGTCCTTTGAGAGCAAGAGCCATTTATTGTATCCCCTGTGATTCCTGAAATATATACTAGTGGGGACTAGACCTGTGATTTCATTGTCATAGGGAACTCCCTCTCCCAATGCAAATTGGCACCTTCTCTGAAATTTATAGTCTGGAAGTGTGGCTGGGACCAAGAGATTAAATGGTTAGTATATGTCAGAGGCAGGATTGAAACCAGGCCTGCTTGGCTCCGGAGCCAGGAAGTAGTAGCTTTCAAGTCACTTTCTACTCCATGGTGCTTCTCTGCAGAAGACCTAATTGAATCATATACTAGCCCTCAATAAATTATTTGATTGATTGACTTTGTGTTGAATTGAGCTAACAATATTTAGGACTTAAAAATGACCTTGTATTCCCTATAGAAGTATTTAGATATTCAATATACATTGAATTAAAAATTAACTAATTTTAAATAAATTTTCCTAATTTTCTTCATTAACATGAAATCTGGTCCTTAGCCACATCATAGATACTGAGACTTAAAAACACCTCATATAACATTTTCCTTTTCTGATTTCAAGTTATTTTTTTTTCTTTGAGGAGAAGTTAGAGTTGTTCTAAATATTCCCTAAACCTCCCCCCCCATTGTATTAAATAAAAAGTTTTTGTTTATTTTCTAAGTAGTGTTACTTTTAAAACTCATTAAAATACATGTGTTGCAGTTTTGAGTAGGTAATAGCACTAAGTGGGTAAAAAGTATCAAAACAAAGATAAAAAGACTGCTATTCACAAAAAAAGCATTTTAGCAATAGTAAGGCCACTATCAAAATGGATAAGAAGACACATCATTGGCAACCAATTCCCTTCCAATTCAGATTGTCAACTTATACTTTCAGAAAGACTTTAATTTAGGTTTTTTGTTTTTGTGAAGTTTGGGGGGAAAGACTTGGTCTCTATTAATTTACTTTGATCATTTTTTAAGGAAATCCTTAGTACTTAACAATATCAAGAGAAACAAGATTATTTCTTTGAACATGTATTTCACTTTTAAGTGTTGTGGTAGGTGACTAGCTGAGTATTGCTTAGTCTTAAAAAAGCTTTTAGCCCTCTCCATGAGCATTTCCTGTCCTTTGACCTTCTGAGTAGGTTATACTCCTTGTTCCAGCTGTATTAGGGATTTTAGTTGTGTGTGTGTGTACATGTGTATGTTGTTGTTGTTGTTTTCCTGAACCCATGAGAGAACTAGATAGGAAAGTAAGATGTTCATATCATTTTTTCCTCTATATTTCAATAGAGACCATACATCTTGAGAGAAATAGTTTTACTCAATTCAACAAATAACAGACATCATTAACTATCTCTTATGTCTTAGGTACTATAAGCAAATAGAATATATCCAAAGACACAAGTGCTGTTTCTGTTATTAAATGATTATAGTTGGGCCACCAGAGTGTAGAAAATGAGTTTTAACCTAGAACAGGATTTCGAGGTTGATATTAAATTATCAGTGGAATCAAAATCTAAGCAAATGGTGTTTCTTGAAAATATGGGTAGTGGAGTGCTTGGGAAGGGATAGTGATATTGGGGAAAAAAAGACAGAATGTTTTTTAAAAAAAATTCGTGGGGAGGACTAGATGGCTGCCTAACACAGATTGTCACCTAATACATACTTCAGTCCTTTCCAGCTTGGTAGGATGTGCTAGAACTCTTACTTTAGCATAGCCTTGGAAATTAATTTCTATTCACTTTATTTGTTATGAGGAGGTGCCAGAGTAGAGTTTCTATGGATGCTGAAGAATTTAAGTCATATCTTTTTTTTTTTAAATTCAAATTTACAAGTTCATATGAAACAGTAGAGTTTTAAATGGAAGGAGACTTAGTTTGACTATTTTATTCAGAACTTTTACACTTATTGTGAGGAAAATGCTGTATTTTAAAAATCGTTTCTATTTTTAGGAACTTTATGAAGAAGAAACATCATCTTGGAAAAGAAACAAAGAATGCTTTTGGACAAAAAAGGACTAATTTTTACTAAAGGAAAATTTAGAGCTCTAAAAAGTGCTCCATTTACTATAATTGTATGTTTTTTTCCTTTATTTTTGGCTTTTTTGATCTTTCTGAGGCACTATGATAAAGTGGACAGAGTTGGACTTCATTTCTAACTCTTATTGGGCATTTTGACTGTTGTAAAGTCATAATAACTTCCCAGAACCTCACTTTTCTCAACTTTTAAGCAGGTATGATACTACCTAACTTATAGGCTTATGAGCAGGGAGGGAACTGTTTGGTAAACTTAAAAATGCTATGTAAATTTAAGTTTAATTCAGTTCAACAAGGTCACGATATTTGGCCAAAGGCAGGTTCTTTTATAGCATCCCAATGAGGCAGCAAGGAAAAAGCTAGGAGGGATTTAGGAATAAGAGCGGTTTGGAGGAATAATGACATGATTTATATTTAGGGAGTGATAGGAGAAGTAAGCATCTTCTACTACCAAGCTAATTGTGTGTCTGCTTACAGGTGTGTGCCCCTATTTCCCTCTTGGTTATACCTCTTCCTAGAAGATCAGTAATGACATAGGTATTGGTAAAGTTGGAACAGGTACCCCAATATAGTTATTTTCTACTCTGTTGTCTTAGAATACGAAACCACGGAGCAAAGAAATTTAAAGTTGAAATAAACATTTCGGTCAGTCTTGAGAGTTCAGTGGCCTTCGTGCTTTTAATACTTAACTTCCAACCAGGTATAATCACATAACTCTAGAAAACATATATGTAGTAAAAATACATATCCTTCAATTCCTGGGGCATGAAGGGTCAATTGATTTTTTTTCAACAAAGATAATATAAATATTCAATGTGTTATATGTGTTCAGAAGCTTCAAATTTCTTTCTTACCACAGATCAATTCAAGTACATTTTTGTTGATTCATTCTTAATTCTGTATGAATTTTAAAGCCAGTAAATTAGTTATAAAATTAAAAAAAAAGTACTCATTAACTATCACTTGTGTTGATATCTGCCATTCAGAATTGAGCCCATTGAAGACTTGTATGGTCTGATTAAGAACTAGAAAATGATTTATAACAGCATCATAAAGAAAAACAACCTGAAAAGATTTAGGAATTGTGAACAGTTCTAAAGTCTTAAGAACAAAGTACTGCAGTGCTCAACCAAGATTCCAAAGAACGAAGCATGCTGCCCACCTCCTAAGAGAGGTGATGGATTCAAGATTCAGAAAGGGACATTCTTTTTTTATACACAGCCAATGCGGGAATTTGTTTTGCTTGACTGCAGACTTGTTAACAACTATTTTGGTGTGTGTTTGTTTTTCCTTCAATGGGGGTGAGGGGTGAGTTGAGTGTGAGAGGAAGGGTAGAGATAAGAAAGAAAACAGTCATTAAAGCATTAAAAAAATCATAGAAGCAAACTAAAGAAAAGCCAGAAAGAACCACAGACAAGCAGGTCAGCTTTAAAAGTTACATACTGAATTTATTATAGAAGAAAAAGCAAGCTGTAATTTGTGGCTTCATATGCTAGCTTCTTTTTTCTCTTCTACTTTGTATGTGAAAATACACATTTTATTTGGTGGTCCAGAAAGAAGATAGTAAAAGCAAAAGATTAAATTGAACTCACTCCAAAAAGAGAGGATAGCTTCTCTCAGAGATCCTCCGACAAATGATTTTTTATAATTCTCAACTCTAAATTTACCAATATATTATGTTAATGTAAGTTAAAATAATTAATGGAAAATCTTGATGTCACTGAATGAGTCCAAGTATAATACATAGAACTCATATACTAGATGGATAGGTCTGGATTAGTCACTGAAACAGCCAGCTCTACTAGGAGCAATTACTTTGTAATTGATTATGTTTTAGAATAATTTCACTATTTTCTTGGAAATATTAAATGAAAGTAGATGAGCTATGATTATTTATGAAATCACATGTATGTAAAATAAGGGATGTGCTTAAGTAGGATCCACCATCCTAACCTTTGAGATCTCAGACATATCCTTGCCACAACCCAGCAATGGAATAGGACTTTTTAATGGAAGAAAAGTGAATAATTGTGGAAGTTGACTGGAAATTAAGATGTTTTCCTTTTTGGTTTCTGTACCAGAGAAAAAAATTATAGGATTTTAGTTTGTCACATCTATTTTGTCACTGTAGAAGAATCAGATATTTACCCTTAATATGAACACTTTAATAGAATCATAGGTATTTTTGAAACATTTTGTTACTCAGAAATGTTTAAAATGTTTTTAGTGGTGGCATTTGTTGCTCCAAAAGTCAGACTTCTTCATCAGTACTTCATTTTAGTCACCATATTTCTAAAGAATGTCATCAATAAGAAGTCTTTTGCCTCAATCTGGAATGAATCAAGACTATCCATCCTTTGTGACAGGTCCTTTGGTTAACCCTGTTTAACCTTAGCCCTGCTAATATAGTAAGGTCCTTAACTACAAGGACTGCCTTATTTGATCTTGGTAACCTGAATGCTCTGCATATAGTAGATGCTGAGAGTTATTAAGTGAATATTTAAACAGGAAATTTCTAGAATCAGTGGTGGAATCTGTAACTCCTGGGAATATTGCATGGGACTTAGTATAGCTATCACCCCTCTTGGGTGGTTGAGAAATAGAGATTTACTCTAAGACCAACATTGTCACAGCTGCCTTCTGTTCCCTAGTACTTTCATTTTGAGAATGAGAAGCACAAATATGAGTTGCTCTAAACTTAAATATTTTTTCAAATATATAAACAACAGAAGATCACCAAGCTATTGACCTAAATGTCTGGGAATCTCAATCTACAAGGTAACTACAGAGGACACTGGCTCTGAAAACCCAAGTTCCTATTAAAAATACATATTCAGAATGACTAGCTTCATAGAATTTAGGGCTGGAATAGGACCAGAGAAACCAGCTAATTGGACCTTCTCATTTCAAATATGAGGAAATCTTAGACCCCAAGAAAAGTATTTTCCTCAGGACACACAGATAGTAACAGATGTGGAATCTGAACCAATGTTCTGACTACAAATCTGATAATTTTTCCACTCTGTATCAACAGCAATATTAACGCATGCTCCATATCACAAATATAACTTTTTGAAGTCATGTTTAGGGCAACTCATTTTACCTCACATCCATTAAATTTACAAAGGTAACAAGCTAGAATGGTGATTGTTGGAAAGGCTGTGGGAGGATAAATACACTGTTGGTGATGTTTCAAATTGGTCCAACTATTCTGGAGGAAAAATTGTAGCTTTATTACAAAAGTCCATAAGCTGCACATACCTCTGAACCAGTAAAGCCAACATCAAGCATTTTACCCTGTAATATTTGTAACAGCACTTTTTGTGGTAGCCAAGAACCAGAAGCAAAGAGGGTGCCATCAGTGATGCAGTAGGTTAAGGAATGACTATAAAAAGAGGTGTATAAATATAATGAGACAATACACCGTAAGAAATATTGTAACTATAAAAATTCAGAATTTGGCAAAATGTGCATGAACTGAGGTGGAGGAAAGCAGAACCAATAAAACTGGCCAAAGATTGCTGTAATTATTGTGAAGGAAAATAACAGTGAAAAGCTTCAGAACTCTGATCAATGACTTCCAGTGAAGTCCAATGACTTCAGAAAATAAGGCTGTTCTTGGAGGGAGATAGATTATGCCTTTTCCATGTATGAACCCTGCCCCAATGCCTGATACCATCTGAAATACTATCACTAGCTCCATGTTAAAGTAAGAAATTTGAGAATTCCTAGGGAAGCAAGAACCCTTCATCTCCCTTCTATGACTTGGTATCGGGTCTCCCTGTTTCTTATCTCTCACGGGTTTCCAAGCAGTTCCGAAGTTTCTGTAAAGTCTTCTTATAATTTGTATAGCTCAACCAGAACATTTTTGTTGTGGGATTCTCAGTCCTCTGCAACAAAATTTCAACTGAAGTAGTGGTTTTTTGTGGAAACAGAGATCTTCCCTGGATGCATATGCCCATTTCCCATTTTGAGCCCCCTCCCCACCTCTTTTTTAAACTCAGTCCCATTCTGAGACATATAGTCATGGAGTATCCAGAGTAAGTTAAGTTTCACGGTTTTCACTCCAAACCGGAAGCCATTGCTGCAATGTAGTTGTGTAATTAAGGAAGTCCTCCAGTAGAGGGCTGTGTAGTCATAGTTCTACAGGTGGAAGAGCATCTTTTTCTTTTTTCTTTGGTAATGGAAGGAACAACAAAAAAAGGTTAACAAGCATTTTTCTTTTAAGTTAGGATGGCTCAGAAAAAGACTGCACCTTTGAAGGATGAGGATAAGGCCACATGAAGTCAAGAGACTTTGCCAGGATAACTGGGTTCAATTTCAGCCCCAGAAACTAAACAGCCATGTGATCTTGTACACATCAATCACCTAACCTTCAGTTACCTTCAGTTTCTACCTCCATGCAAAATAGAAATATCACTTATACTATCCACTGGACACTACTACTATGGAGGGAAAGCACTTACAACCTAATTGTGCCACATATATCAGTTATTATTTAAGTCTAAGGCATCGTGAAGGGTATAGTGTGGATTGAATGGTTTTTCCACTAAATCCTTAATTACTCAGCAGCTTGCAAACAGTTGTTTTAATGAAAGCTTGTGTTGATGTGTGTTCTTTGAAGGTTTTAGGGTTTAAAGCCACTTTTTATACAACACCTTTGTGAAGTAGGTAGTGCAAATATTCCCATTTTACAGATAATTAAAGGTCGGAGAGTGAAATGATTTGCAAAGCATTCTACAGCTAAGTGTCATAGCTGTGTTTGAACCCTAGTTTCTGTGTACTATGACACATTGTTTCCCTACCCTGGGAATAACAAATTCATGGACCTAGAGGTTAAGAGGTCATATGAATCAGCTATAGAAACCTGTTGAATGATTGGACAGGCATGCATTAAAGGGGCCTAGTATGTGACAGGAACTACGGTAGGTTTATGAGGTTATAAAGGATACAACTTAGGGGAAGCAGGGGCCAGCAAAGGGAGCCGTGGCCTAGGCAGTCATTTTTCACATATTAATAATTCCTGACAGTGTAATATATTCCATTATATTTATATACCACAATTTGTGTAGAGCCATTGCTTAAGCAATGGTATCACTGATGTGAGTGGATTCACTGGGTAACAATTGTCATGGCTTTTCCAGTGGTAATGGTAATAATGATAATAGCTAACATTTATGTAGTGCTTACTGTGTGTCAGGCACTGTGCTAAATGCTTTTTACAATTATTATCTCATTTGATCCTCACAACAACCCTGAGAGGCAGATGTTATTATCATCCCCTTTTTCCAGATGAGGAAACTGAGGCAAACAGGTTAAGTGACTTACTCAAGGTCATACAACTAGTAATTATGTCTGAGGCTGAATTTAACCTCAGGTCTTCCTGATTCCAGGCTGGGTACTCTATCCACTGTGCCACCACTATATCCCTAAACTCTTGAGTGAACTGTCATGGTAGGTAGCCTTCGGGGAGATTAGACAAATAATAGAAGCAATAAGTACCCCTGGTATAACCTAGGATGGCACTTTTTATATTCTCTAACTAAAAACTTGTAACAGTTGCCTTTTGATGGAATTTTCTTCCTATTTACAAAATGTACATCGACTGTAGAGTATTATATATACAAACTGTATTATAACATTAAAAACTTATATTTGGCTTCATATTTAAAAAAAATTTTAATAACACATATACAATATAATCTGGCACTGGGGCTACAATGATTATAGGTGAGTAATTCTGATTTTCATGTATTATTTACGTCAATAAGAAACAACTAAAATTCTTGACCAATGTTGAAATCCAATGTGATTTCAGCTTCTTGCCAACACGTACAATATTGGTTTTGCGACTATGTACAAACATTGTGCATACATTCATTTTTGTATATTGTGCTTCCCTGTTTTTACAATGACAAAGTATGCCCATGGAAAGTTGGAGAGGTGGAAGTGGGAGGGAAATTCTGACGCAATAAGTGGAAAGTAGCCAGTAAAGCTTTGTTTAACCAAACATCTAGCAAATAAATCACATCCCAAAGATTTAAGCAAAGGAAGTGTCTAGTAATACTATTATATTTAAATATATATGTACAATATTATCAGTCTATACTATCTTTAACAAGATAGTAGCACTATATTTGAAATGATAATTTATCATTTTCAATACCATATATTAGACCTTTTAATTTTTCAAAGTTTAAATACTCATTTATGTTTTAATTTTGCCTCAGTGTTTACCTTCCAACTATGTCATTTTATGCTACACGTATAATTTGTTAACTTAGTGTTTCAAACATTAGTAGGTGGCCCCCAAAATTACTTAGACAAGGTTTAGATCATTTGTTTTCTTGAATAAGTTGTGTACAAATGAAATCATTTTAAAATGGGGGGGGGCACTCAGTTTAAAGGATTCCAGGGATGAATCATTATATAAAATAGATAATCACTTTCTGATTCATTTATTTTGGATTTTCATACATTTGGTTTTATTATGGTTGAGTACCCCATATGTGAAAGTAGAAGATGTTCTTTTTATAACAGCAGTGTTACAACAACCACTTTGCATAAGAAACTGGTTTTGTCCTAACACAATCTTGAATTATTAGTTTCTTTGACATTATTACAACATCATATACAAAAGTTTTTTAAGTTTCACTTTCTTTGTTCTTGAAACTGTTTATTTTATAAAAAATAAAATCTCTGGTTAGCAAAATTTTCCCTGGCCAGTTAAAGGCTTTGAGAATCACAGAATCTTTCTGCTCATTTTACGACTAAAAAGTGATACCAAGATCTGAATTAAATGTCCAGTTCTTTATCAGGGGAAACAATAATGTGGGACCTAGTCCATAAAGGTTAGATAATCATTACAAGATCCACAGTTAG